TGTTGTGCGTGTGTGCGTGTGTGCGTGTGTGCGTGTGTGTGTGCATACGTCTGTGTGTGTGTGTGTGTGTGTGTGTGTCTGTCTGACTGTCTTTGTTCAATGCACTGATTTATTCCTCACCCAGTAAGTTGGCGCAAGTGAGATTTGGCAGTCTTGTAAAGATTGGCTGATGTTCAGTCATGCATGGAAAGATTCAAATGAAAATGGTACCTAAATGTACTAGAATGATAACTTTATCAAGACATATCATGACACTCATGATTAAATATTCATAATTCAAACAATACAACATTTAAAAAGTGGGACAATTCTTCTGACTCACTCTGTAGAGAAGTTTCAAACTATGGGAGCTGGTGAACCCACATTTGATTGATTCATTATTAAATTGTTGACCACTATCTTATGGACACATCAAAATCATTTTCTCTCTCTTATTTTTGTGAGCCGCAAGTAATCGGAAAAATGTCAAATTACGGGTTTTAGGACTGTACATTTGTACTTCTTTTCACCTATTAAATCTGTTATCATACAACGTAAGCAAATTTCTTGAAACAATTAGGCTTGTGTAATCATATTTGATCATCTGTTAGATTTTCCCCTTGTTAGTTCAAATAAAAAGTGAAATATTAAGGATATTTCTTTGTGACAATAATCACTACTCAAACTTTCCAATGATATTGGCGGCTTCGAGCCTCGGACATCAAAGGTAACAGAACACCAGTAGACTCTATTGTGCAACCATAGAAAACGGCAGATGCTTGGAATACTTTGTTGCCAGTTGGGTCTCCAGCTCTTAGAAATCCTTGCGTATACCCAGCAATACAATAGACTTAACTCCGTTTCGTTGACGATCAGCCGTGCAAGAAGTCTTTCGTATTTTTTGTGCATGGATGATCGTCAATGAATAGGAGTTCAGCCTTTTCCCACTATGTTTGTTGCTACGGCAGGCGGCCAGTGAAAACGAATTCGTTTTTTTCAAATTATGGAAATGCAGACATTACTTTAAACAAACAGAACTTTGTTATTCCTGGCTCATTTTTCCTGATTGAGGTGTCATATGTAAGGGCAGAAAATGAGCTTTCTAGAAATGTGATTTTCTCTTTTGAAATTCAGATACCGATCGCCAAATGACTTTTTAGTACACTCTCTTCGAATTGCTTTTAATCCCTCATGCGAGAAATATACATAATAATTATGAGTTGCATCAGATGCAAGAGGAATATCTAAGATTTTTATATGTGTCATTTATTAATTATAATTGTGATTAAGTTATGAAAAACATCGATAATTCTCGGTTTTGTTTTTGTTGGAACGCACTGTTAAATATAAAAAAAATTATAACAAAGTATAGTAAAGGGAAAGGTACTCCTAGTTTTTCTCCCTTATACCTTCGACAGTGCCGATCGAAGAGGGTGTATATGCGTATCAAATATGATAATTCACTGTCTTGTACATGTATAATGCGCGGAAGCTTAGACGTTTCATTAAAATATTAGAGAAAGAAGACGATTTGTTGTAGGCCTACCGTTCTCGACTCTTAATCCTTGTCTGAATAAAGTTTTCCCCCTCACGCGCGAAGCAGTGAAGCTTTGACGTTTCATTGAATTATTATAGAAAGAAGACGATTTGTTGTACCATTCTCGACTCTTAAAGGCCCACTGCACTACTTGTAGCTACTTGCGCCCTCTATATAACAGACAATGCCTAATCGGTGACCATTGGTCCCCCATGATCCTCTTTTTCTTATGTTAACCGAGAGCTGAGTTGATGAGATAACCACCTGTCCAGTGACCTTGCAGGGCGCTCTAATCCCTCCTGTAAACTACGGCAGATAAGCTTTAATCCTTGTCTGAATGAAGTTTTTCTCCTCCCGCGCGAAGCGGGGAAGCTTTGGCGTTATGACATTTTCACATTTTCAGAAGCCTCCTCTGCCTAAGTCATATATTTTGTTTAAAAAAAGATTGTTCTTAACAAAACTCTGCATCACCATGTAACTATGTGTTTCTTTACCTCATATCAATTATTCGCACATGATTTTACTAAGCATTTAAAAGACAAATTGAAGATTCTCTTAAAAATATATTCTGCGATGTTTCGTCTTCCACTCATCATAATGAATTGCAATAATGAACAGGAAGCCGAAATCGGATAATACAATATAAATGAAAGCTAAATGAACAAAGCGCGCAAAAGAATAATGATCGATAGACGAAAAGCTTTAAAGAGAAGGTTGAGTTCTGGGAAGAGGTGAAAAATAATTTGTGAGCATTACTCATTCTTATTGTGCAAGTGTGGAAGAACATCAGTTAAGACATGTTCCCTGAAAAGCATGGCTCCTCAAATGCCTTCATATTCTAAATAAGCATGTAACATCGTAAAAATCGGGGGGGGGGGGGGAGGCGGCTTTTTACGCCACGTGTTCGTGTAGTCTCATATACATCTTTCTGTGCAAGTGTTTGTAACTTTACCAAGACTTGGCCAAATTTCTTATTATTTTGATGATTCCAGAACCTTGCAATACACACAAATTCTTATATGCTAGATGATCAACCCTTTCTGGTCGGTTCCACACCGTTTCTTTCACAATGCAATCGCATGACCAGAACTCAACTTCATGTTTAAGGGTGCTTTTCCTCGTTTTCTCTTTTCCGTATACTTATACCTTCAACAACAACAAATTCATAGATTTTTGACATACGTATTATCCAAGACAAACTAAAGAGGAAATTTGGAAGCTGTCTTTTAATCCGTGTAAATAAAACAATATATATTTTCCTTTTGAATTTACACAAATTAGATTTCTTTTTAAATTGTAAGAAGAAAGAAAACGAGCCAATATTTCGTTTGATTTCAATTTAAACAGTTTTTTTTCTTCAAAAACTTAAAAAAGAAACAAGTTCACGAATATTAATTGTGTACCATTTGTTTGTTTGTTTTATCCATGACGTAAACGATGTATGTCTGTGACGTCATGGACGCAGCATGTTTGGAACTAAACTCTTCGTATTTGTTGTTTACCAAATAAAATTTTGCATTTTATTGTTGAAAAATGCAACGGTCACCACTAGGATCTTACATCAATTGAGCAATAATCAAATTCGTTTTCACACTCAGAACGATTACTACTACTACTCCAATTAAAAAAATGTATCATCGCTATTTATGAAACATCAACTGGGCTCTTCGTACGTGTATCGAATAAATTGTTTAGCATGTTTTTTTGTAGTCAAATGTGCAACAGCACTTTTCATGCTTTTTTTTGCTTCACCTAAAGCTTAAATCATGGAAGCCTAAAGCAAATCCGTATCCATCCTTCGTCAATACTACTACGCCATTAAAAAGAAGAAAAAAAAATCGTTTCCACCACCACTTCTTCAATATATGGATGTTTTGGAATTTAACTATTCTTTAACATTATAATGTGCCTGTCCTAATAAACTATTGAGTTTATTAGTGAAATGGTTTTTATTTATTTATTTTATTCATGTTTTCTTTATAAAAAGCAGGGTAGTCCCATTCAAGCCGCAATGTTTCATTTGTGTAGCGCTTAAAGTGTACAACTTCCTCGAAAATAACGTTTGTATAGCTATTTTGTATAAAATCAACCCCAAAAAACTATATCTGGAATTCTATAGTAGTGTGACAATAAACATATCACGGTTGCAAGAGTGCGCGTGCGCAGAAATGGGCGCCATTTTAAATTACGAGTAAACAAGTTTGTTTACTCGTAAATTGAAATAGCGCCATGTCAATATGATGTCAGCGCGCAGCGCAGGCAGTGACGCAACAATCAATATGCGAATCTGAAAACAACGATGACGCAATTTTTACTCGTAAATTAAAATGGCGGCCTTAACCGTGAAAGGGTGATTTGCGAGTAACGCCATTCTAAATTTCGAGTAAACAATGCGAGTAACTTTTATTTGATGCAGCATGCACAGTGCATGTGTCGATATGATATGAGCACGCAACCTAATCAGTGCCGCAGGACGCAACGTTTGGACGCAACAATACATGCGCGTCTGAAAAATTGATGACGAAATATTTACTCGCAAATTAAAATTGCGGTCTTAGCCGTAAAGGGGTATAAAAGTAAACGATTAAAACAGATATTCATTGATTTTAAAAACTAACTTTATTTTCATTATTGCAAAGTTGAAACTTTGATTCGACAAGGTTATCAAAATTCAATGCTTGGAAACATTCGAAGTAATGATTATTATAAATTACAAAACGCTTTAATACAGCCCCGGCATAGCACCTGAAAAGCACTCTGAACGCTACTGAGATGTGTGAGATCACAGGATGGACATGATTTGCACAAGCAGACGATGTTCCATGACATCTCACACATTTTCAGTGCCTGTTTTTTTTAATCTTCTCTAAAGTTCTTTCTCTTACTTCAATACCGTCAGGCTAAATGGATAATCGATTGCCTCACTCTAAATCCCGTGCATGTTTTTTTGGGGGGATGACAAATGCAGGGATACAAAAATAAAGGAATCTGTCGCCTGTAAACATAATAAGACGCCAATGTATATTCTGCTGCACACACCGCGGTATGTTCAGCGTTTCAAGAGGGAACAAATGCCGTCCTAAATATCATTCCGGGGGGGGGGGGGGGGGGGTTTAATTTGAAAGTTTTGTTTCTTTAATTGTTAATTAACCCCTATCCTGTGTATTTACAAACAAAAGACTTTAGTTATCAGATTCGGTTTCATATCCCCTTTTGAGTGGTTTGAAATGCCATCACATTTATATACACTAAACTCATTATAATTTGACAAATAATAGCGTTGCAATTATGTTCATTCTTTATGGGATTTCGTCTGCTTGGGCAGTATTAGTCCATTATGTGACGTCACTAAAACATCGTTATTTTCTGGCGAATTTCTCGTATATCCCAGATACTATGGAGGTGGTTGTATTTGTATTTTTATAAATCACCCGATATGTAGTTGACCTAAAACTTGTACGATGGCCATCTGTTAGCTTACCAGTTTCTAGTGATACATTAGTTGACATATTTGTGATTTTTTTTGAATTTCCACTTTAAGGAGTTTGGAGAAAATAAGAGTAACATAAAACCCCGCGTAGAGGGCTCACACAGAAACCAAGTCGGACTTGGGTTCCGTGCGCGCACTATTCTATGCGAGTGCGTACGTATTTAGAAATCACATGAAACCCCTTACATCAAGCAATTCAAGACCAAAACACTTTTTGTGTAGCACTATATAAACATGATAGATTTTAACTATTTAACTAATACTCGCAAGTCAAAATTAATGTGACAAACGATTCTTTTTTTCCTTCTTCATTTACCAATCACGTTCGTCAACAATACTGCTCCAATAAAAAGAAAAGCCATATCCATCATCGACGCTACTATCATCACTTCCATCACCACTGCCAGCACCACTACTATCACCGCTACCAGCACCGCTACCAGCACCACTTCTATCACCGCTACCAGCACCGCTACCAGCACCGCCACCATCCTCCATGCCGCTGACTTTGATGCCGTCCCGACGGAAGCGGCAGAAGGAATCGATGCCCATGTGCCCCTGGACCTCGGACTTGCAGGCACTCTCGGCCAACCCTCTGAGGATCTGCCGGTCACCGGGATCTGGGGAGAGCGCTTCGACTGGGGAGGTGAGACGATGATGGAGGGATGGAGGGAGGGATGGAGGGTGGAAAAGAGGAAGGGGAAAGGTTGAGGTGGGGGGGGGGGGGTGTCTCGAGGGAGGGACGGAAAGATTAACGAGGACAGGACAGATTAGTGGATAGAAGTGTGTATGGATGAAGGGAGGGAGATGGGGAAGGGCGGAGGGTAGGATATTTCATGGAAGGGTGTGGAATTAAGGAATAGATGAGTGGAAGGACGGATAGAGGGATTGAAGGAAGGAGGGAAGGATTGATGGAGTAGATGGATGGCGAAGATAAATAGTGGATGAAAGACGGATCGATGGAGGGATATGGTTGATAGTGTGGGGGAGTTTTGATGAGGGAGGGATAGATGGATTGAGGCGTATAGGGAGGCAGAGGGGTGAATGGATGGAGAAATAGTGGGAGGAATTAGTAAGGGGAGAAATAATGGGGATGAAAGGTTCAATTGATGGAGGGAGGGAAGAAGGGAGAGATGGATGAAGGGGTGTATGGAGACAAAGGGGGGGGGGGGGGGGGTCCATGAGGGAGGGATTGGATTAGTAGTGGAGGGAGAGGTGGGATTAGTAGTGGAGGGAGAGATGGATGTGAGAGATCGTGTGAGGGATTGAGGGACAGAGTGAGAGATAGAAAGAGAGAGAGAGAGAGAGAGAGACATAACAGAGTTTTAATATATAAAGTCGTGATTCCTTTTATATCTCATTCATTTATTTTCATCGTACATTTTAAAAAATATTCAAAACATCCCAGGGAAACTTTTTTTCTTCATTCTTTGGCCTTAAATAATCGTTCTCGGTCACCAACCTAATCGGCCCACAATATTAATACATTAGACCAACCAACAAAGAGCGCAAGAGTCTGCGCCTTTGAAAGCGACTTACAAATGATGAGGAATATCATCATCCTCATCAGCGTCCTCGTCGTCGTCATGAACATTATCATCCGACCAGAAAAAAATCAAAACTATTAAACAGAATTATGGTGCCATGAAAATGCGATAATCAAGATCATCATTGTCATGATCCTCTTCAGTTTTGCCTACCTATCAGAACAAAATCATTGTCATCATTATCATCTTCACCATCACCACTATCGTCATTATTTTCATTTTCATCATCATCATCACCAACCTGCCAGAAAAAAATCTAACAAATCTTAAACAGAATATGGCGCCATATAGAAATGATATAAATCATCATTATGATCATCATCATCACCATTCTTACCTTCATCATCATCATCATTATCATCATCACCATTCTCACCTTCATCATCATCATCATTATCATCATTATCATCATTACCAACACCACCATCGTCATTATCATCATCATCATCATCATCATCACCTTTCTAACCTTAATTATCATCATCATCAACATCATCATCCTCATTCTCATTTTCATTTTCACCAGCATGATCATCATCTTACTTATTATCGTCATCATCAACACGTCATAAGCATACCTATATTTTCGATGGTTAAGATCTGCAGCCCGTAGCCCGACCAGTAAACGGACCCCTTCCCCGAGCCTTTCTCGCCATTATCGGAGACGAACGGGCAGATGGAATCGACCATGTAGTTGACAAACCCGATGTCATATTTCGGCTCGTTGTCGGTGAAGGCCCGATGACAGACTTCGGAGAAGGGGATGCCGACATTGTACCCGTCTTCGTCGTCGCCCGGTATGTCGCCGGGGTATGGCAAAGCTGTGAGGCGGAGAGAGACAAAGAAAAAGGTGGAATGTGAATGCAGGGAGAGCAAGGGGGAAAAGGTGACGAGTAGGAGAGAAATGGAGACAGAGACAGAGAGAGAGAGAAAGAGAGAGAGAGAAG